TAAATAATACGAGTATATTATATGTTCAATGCTGCAATTATGATCATCTCCAAAATCACCGTAGAAATCTTCATCATTCTAAATTTAGAATTATTTGGTTTGCGTCTGACCTTTTCTTAATATTGGAAGCCTGTGTTTGAGGCGTTAGATTGTGAAAGGTCTAGGGTTCGAAGTTCCAACCCCGGTCCGAACAACTAATCAGTTTGTAATGTTCTTTCTTAGAGATTTCAACATTTTTTTTCTCTAAAGAAATAAGAAATAAAATAAGCAAAGAAAGTATGATTGTGTTTAAAAGAATAGAAAAAATATGGACATTTTCATATAGTAGAGCAGTAGCAGTAGCAGTATTCAGCTTTTATTTTCTGTTAGAAAACAGGGACGTACCTTGGCCTATTTTTAGTGTACGCCGTGTGCAGGTCTTTGGTCTCCAGAGATTTATATAATATATAGCAAGATGTGCAAAATAAGGGATTTAGGGGACATCTAAGCTAATTGTACTTCTGTTGTCTTTATCTATAGTTATGAAAATAACATCAAGTACATGTATTGAATGTAAGAGAAATTGCACGAAGTCTAACATTGACAATGTTTTAAAAAGTTCAAAAGTTATTTACTATTAGAAAAACAAAACATAGCCAGGTGTCTCTCTATTGTAATAAAAAATGTTTAACAAGTTTTGTCTTTGTTATTGTTCTTTTGTTTCATCATAACTTAACATGAGATACTTTAAAATGATCTGTATGACTTTAATACAAACACAACAGCTTTAATGTTTTAGTGCAACGAAATATTATCGTATTTATCAGCTAAGATGTAGTATCGCATGATGAATTAGGTCCCTTAAAATATTTTAAATGCGTATTAAGTCAATGATGAAAACAAAAAATATTGTCTTTCTCAACTCTACTTTTTCAGTTTACATTCGAAATATTTAAGATATTTCATCAGGAAGTTAAATGCCTCACGCAAATAAAAGGATGCTCGCCAACTCGTTATCTAAAGTTGGTGAAAATAAAATAATTGAGACGTACATGACGTGTCTTATATTGCTATACATTGTTCTCGTTGTATATTTGTCTATGTTTTAAATATGTATAGATGAGACTACGTATAATAAAGAATATAAATATGTCATTGTTTGCAGAAGTATGCAACTTATTTCTATACACAATAAAATAATGCAGTAGAAACATCTTTCTGTAGTGATATATTTTGTAAATACATGTATTCATTTTACGGTCAAATAAACAGAAGTTGAGTTCGGTTTGTAACGATAGATGCTGGCAATGGTTCGCTGCAAAGATCTAATTCATAGGACCAAAACTATTCTACACAATTTGAAATGAATATAAGATCAACGAATGTTACTAAATTAACAAATAATATACTGACTTATAGCTACAAGGTAAATTCCATATAGCTAACTCCCTTGCATTTGGCTGCAAACTCCAAGTTGCAGACAAGATCTTGATTTTGCATAATTTTGCATATACAGTAAACTTCACTTATAGCGAACACGGTTATAGCGAACTTCCGGTTATAGGGAACAATTTATTTTTGCCCGAATTTTGGCCTTCTTTATTTAATATAAAAATATATGGTTATAGCGAACACGGTTATAAGGAATTATCGCTTATAAGGAACTCATTTCTTAGTCCCAATTTAGTTAATAGTACAGAAAATTACACTTTTATAACGAACTCCAAAATATTGGCTATCCGTAAATAGATCCCGCATTTTTGGCGTCCGCGCCGAAGCGCGGCGCCCCTTTATGGAATGAAATCAGATTTTGTGAAAGGGCGACAGCAACTTCTCGAGCCTTTTAGTCGGTCATAATAAAAGCCGATCATTCCGATCGGTATGAGGGTGCTTGATTATTATCAATTAAAAAATGAAATGTCGCGATATGTACAATGAATAGCGAACTGGAGGATTTCGCAATGCAAACATTTTCAAATGCAATAACCTTTCCCGTCTCTTCGTTTTTTATTGATCATTTTGTAGTACACAGTGGGTTATCATCATGATATTTTAAAATAGAATGATGAGTTGATGACCTAAATATTCCGAAAATGTTTTTATAGAGGGATGTACTCCTATCGGTAATTCCGGTCTCTCCCGGTCTATTTTGACCGTGATACTAGTGACCGGCGAAAGTATCACACGTTTATTGTCCGGTCTCTCCCGGTTTTGGAGTAGATGTTTGATATCGTTACAGAACAGAAAAAATATTTTACAAAATGAATGTTTGTCACTTAGTTTGGTTACAATAATTAATAAACATAGATCAACTCTCAAATTTATTGATTATTATTATATATAAACATACAATTCGAAAAAAAAACCCAACAACAACAATAGCATGTTTCATTTTTATCTATATGAGATAAAAACAATAAACATGTACAATAATTGTGAAAAAAGGTACATTTTTATGGTTTTAATATGACACTATCAACTTTGAAACATTTTATTTAATTTGTTATTCGTGTTTAGAAAAGATGCCGAGGAATTATTCAAAGTTACAAATTAGAATTTATTAATTATTTAATTGATTGATAATTTAAAAAATGATAAAGAAAAATACAAATGTACATGTACATGGTTTAAGAATAAACAATATTATATATTGAAAGATTAACCATAATTTACTGACTTTTTCCAGTTAAGTTTTGACTTATAATCGTCGGTCAATGTTACATTTGAATTCTTAAAATTTATTTTACAGTTTAAAAAAAAAAAGAGTAGTAAACGTAAAAAACTCAGTATTAAAATAGCACATAAAACACAAAAAGGAGAGGAAAACAATAATCATAAAATCTGTATTTTTGTTATTAAAATAGATATTACAATTATTGTATAATTAACAATAATGCTCAACATGACATGGTAATATAACCAGTGTCATATTTTTACTAAGTGTGAACAGATATCTTAAGAGGGGGTCTTCGCTAATAGCGATTACATAATAAGGGACAATTCCACAAGTGTGGTGTTGATCATGCGTTACACATGGGTATGGATTATAAATGATTGTATACATGTATATCCGTTGCTATTAATAATCACGATCATAAAGAAATAACAAGTAATATTCTAATCTCTAGCATGCCAATCAAAGTTCATAATGAACAATGTCTTCTGTCCGTTCATTTTGGTAAAAACCAATTAACCATTGAAAAGTTTATAAGAATATCTTGACATCATATGCCTACTAGTTCATCTTCACTTTCTGCATTTCTTGCTTGGACGCCCTTTGATGCTTTGCATCAATGCTTTTCTTGTAAATGCATGGATTAAAACTCGGGCGAATGTACCGTTTATCGTTGTATGTACTTCAGTACATCTATTCAAATGAATTTGTATAGTTTTCTATTTTGGATATTTTTAGCATGAGCTCTTTTCACCAATATAAAACGGTTATTTATTTATTTATTTTCTTCAATACTTTTGCTCAAATAAATTAATTATAATAATTTATAATCGGTTTTCAACATAATCATGCATGCTTGCATGCATGATCCATTGCAAACTGCTAAGTACGCTTGATTTAAATGAAAAGAAATCTATATCTTACATTAGTAAAAGTCACCCTTAAATTATAATAGAAGATATTCAATATAAAAGGAAGGAAAAATCGAAAATCTTGTTAATTCTCAATCATGGAAAGAAAACAAAAATAGTTTAGAAACAAAATATTATATTTTATGTGAAATTGAGATAAGGAGTAAAACTAAAACTGAAATAGAAATGATTTTCGAATTCCAAAAAGAACGCTCTCGGGTAGTGTGTCTAAAATATAAATAAATGACTAATATTTCTATTTCTTAATCAAATTCTCTTCAAAAATGGCGGACAATGGTAAACAATCAGTTCGTTATATGTAAATATGTTCGCTTTAAAAACTCCTGATACAACGAACTAATTCGCTATATGCTTACAAGGAACTCCGGATATAAGAAACAGGTTTTGAATATCCCAGTGAGTTCGTTATAAGCGGAGTTTACATGTAGATCTAAATATAAAAAATTAAATAAATGTTTAGTTTTCACTGATTTTGATTCTTCTGGAAAAAAAAATAATTGTACTATATTGGACAATTTCTTATCATTATTTTGACTTTGACGAGGTTTATAAGCATTATAACATTGATTCTTTAAAGCTTAACTCAATCTGAAAAAAAAGAACATTCCAAAGAAATTGTTTATATCATATTTTTACATTGTGTACGTTACTCCGTGTTTCTGTTGAAAGGCCGAATATTTTGTTTTCTGAGTTTTAAAGTCTCATCTTTCGCATAGGGTGGTATAAACTGAAATTTAAAGATAATTCAAACCATACCTCCTAAAAAAAACCGATTTCTCGGATTCGAGACTGACACAGCAATAAAATAATCCTAAGGATACCTATAGAATCAATTAGAAGCTACGAATATGTTGATCAATCTACGCCCAAATTATTGATTTCATTTTTGATATTTTATTTTTTCGAAACTCTTCTTTTTATACGGCGGTACGTATTGGCGTCTCGGTAGGTACGCCCCTGGAAAAACAATTTTGTGTTGTTTCAAAATTTGTGTTCAGGGAAAAGTGTATTTCTGGCTTCCAAAACTTTATAAGCCGCTATTTAACATATTTGTTATTCATCTGATGCGGCATTAAACTTCATGTCATAGTATATAAACGGGTACGCTAGGAAAAGTGCATTGATCATATCTTCAAAACAGTTATTTATAACGCGCCCGTGACGTTTGCTTCTAAATATAGAATATTTAAATATAGAGAGCGGACCGGTAGACAAGAGGAGTCGAGGGGTTTCCTTATTGGTTCATTTTCACCTTAATACTTTTGATTTGACAATTATAAGCAATGATTCATCAAACTATAGCATATTTATCCTTCAGATCAGCAGAAAGCCACTTTAACAATCATCATTAATCCAATTTTTAGCCCATCATTATCAGCCACTTCATTTTTTGATATTTTATTTTAATAATTTTATACAGGGACCAGGATACTGAGGGTCAAAGGTCAAGAACGTGTGCCGAAAAACTATGCTGCGTGTTCACTGTATATTTAGTGGAAGTGACGTTATGGCTTTTGTGTAAGTGCCTGCAAGTACAATGTATCATTTTATGATAATTTTAATTGGTGATTTTAAATTTTGCATGACAATTTTGCATGAAATCTACATGAATTTATGGCAATAAATTTGAATTTATTGGAACCTTTGCGGGTGTTCATATCAATTATGACTTAGTCGAAGGGGTGGAACCCCATATGTATCTCAAAAATGAGCATCGGTAAAAATTATATGTGAATTTCCGCTGCACCAGATATGACTGTAAAATGAGGTCAATCGCAGGGTAAGTTTTCATCTTTTGAAACGTTTATTTAAAATTCAATCCTTTTTGAAGAAAATCGAAATGTGATTCTACCCTCCTGACTCTCCTCTATGTTACCCATTTTTGTTTTGGATTTCTATGAAGTCTTCATCGAGATATACTTTCCGTCGTGGGCTCTGGTGTGTCCGAAACATGCAATGCGAATGAAGAAAATGTCTCTAAACGGACTCAAAAAAACCCAGAGATTTTACGAAATCCCAATACAGACCGATGCTTATTATTCAGATTTTAACATTTATTGAGATTTGGCTACAAACGAAGGATTGCTGCTCAAAATTGCATATCAGCTCCATATGTGCTGAAGAGATCCATAAGTGATGTAGAAAACCGTAAACAAAACTACGGACCACTTCCATATAATCATTAAATAGCCAATGTATAGAAACAATTTAGGTTTTGTAGCTTTGGATGAAAGTTCAATTGTAACATTAGTGTGTTTGATCACAACAATGACAGGGCTCACTAGCTTATGCTAGCATTAGAAATACTAAAAGGCCTGAGTACATGAAAATGTTGACACTGAGCAGATAGTGCTCGTATGAGAAACAGTTCACTTATAAAGACTATGCAACTTGGACAAACAAACTGAAAGTATTGAACTTTGTAAAGCTATTGTGTCATGTAATATGTTTCTATTATAATGTTTACATTCATAAAATATCTATCACTTTAATATTCCACAGGTTATAGTGATAGCGACAGACTGTTATCTGGAAATAGCATGACCTGGTGCGATATCGAAGGTTTTTCTTACATAATATGGGCCGAGAACATTGTCTATAAGGAAAACCCGAGATGCCGCCCCAGGTCATGATATTTCTACATAATAGTCGAGTTCGATATATAATAATAACTGTATATAATTGTTGATAAACAGAGATGAGAATTTTAATAAACATAAAATTTCAATTTATAATTGGTTTCTCTTCATTAATTTAATTCCCCACTCGGAACCTCGGTTACTGTTTATGTAACGTGTCAATGACCGATATCGTAAACCCCACACCATATGAGCCAATCAGAAGTTTGTTGGATGTTCCTGATTGGTTGGATAACCAAAGAAACAGAAAAAACATTGCTGTTAATAACTGGGACGCGCCAGTATTACGCTAACCGCCGTTTCATCAGCATTTTTAATGGCATGCCAAAAGATGGAATTTTTTTATTTATTTCAGTTACAGGGCAGGCATAAAATATGTCAAATAGGCTTTGACCCGTAATTGCGACTATTTGCATGAAGTGAAGCATGTAAATATTATGCAATGACGTTCCTTGATGTGGAAAATAAATGTGCAAAGTTTCTTTGATCTTCTTCACTAACTTTCTTACAGCGTCATAACAAATTCAAACACGCTTCACATTACTCCCCTATTAAGCAGACAGTGCAGTAGAGTGAATAATTAGTAAATTAATTAATGCATGACGGAATAAAAAGGGAATGATTGCAGTACCTATGACGTCAATAAATCAAAATAAGCAAGGCCTTCCCACCATATCTACGTATTTTCAAACTCTTTCGTATGTCTTTTATCTCTTTCTATATGGATGCTATGTTATTCAAGCTCGTCTCGTGAAAATTTATCTATTTCGGATAATAATGTTTTTTATTACAGAATGATAAATAATAGAATAAATTATAGATTGCTTTATGAAAATGATGCGTACTTATGTTAATTTTTTATATTATGCACATATGAATCTCTTCAGCACATGTTGAGCTCAAATGCAATTTTGAGCAGCGATTTCTTCGTTTGTAGCCAAATCACAATAAATGTTTAAATCAAGATTTGTCTGAATGTTAAGCATCGGTCTGTAATGGGATTGCGTAAATTCTCTGTTTTTGAGTCCATTTTCTTCATTCGCATTGCATGTTTTCGACACACCAGAACCCACAACGGAAAGAATATTTCGATGAAAACTGCATAGAAATCCAAAACAAAAACGGTTATTTAGAGGAGAGTCAGAAGGGTAGAATCACATTTCGTTTTTCTAAAAAAAAGGATTGAACTTTATATAAATGTTTCAAAAGATGAAAACTTACCCTGCGATTGACCTCATTTTACAGTCACATCTGGTGCAGCGGCAATTCACATATAATTTTTACCGGTGCTCATTTTTAAGATTTATATATGGGGTTCCACCCCCGTGTTAGTAGATAGAAAAAATAGCCTGAAAATGTAGCTCTTCAAAAGGGGCGTGAAATATAAGTTTTTGAAGTACAAAATTATTATTCAACAAATATTTTAATCAACATTCAGAAATATCAAATTCTTGTCCACATGGTAATGATAATCAATTCTTCAAAGCATCTAAGTATTCAAAGTGATGCATCTGCCGTAAACTGTTGGCATCATTCTTGTCTTTTTAAAACGATCAATCAATAAGTTTCTATATAAACTGATGCAGAAATAAATCTGTGTCCAAACAGCGATTATTGAAAAAGATAATAAGCGACGGAAATTGACGCAGTTTGTCGACTTAATGCCGAAGTATGCCATTTAATTCAAAACATGGGTATTCTAACTTCGATTATCTTTATATTCAAATCTTTCGTTAACCAAAAAAGAAATCAATTTCGTTTTTAAAAATCAATCAAAGGTTTTTAAATTTATTTTCTTTTATTAACCTATATTTACGTGTATTATACATTTGTGTACGCTAACTATTAATATGAACTTGACCGGTTTAACTACCGCATTCGCATATTAACCCTCGTCACATGAATTGGCCCACCTTTGAATTTGTAGATCCTGTATGTTGTATTTAAGGTTGTAAAAAGTGAAAATGTATATATTTACATAATTATGCTTCTGAAACAATTTTCAAACATCGAAGAATGTGTAAAATACACATGTATGTACTTACAAGTATTTGTCATATATGCATTTATTTCTTACTTAGACTTAACAAAAAAGTAACTTTGAGCCGCGTCACGACAAAACCAAAACATAGTGGGTTTGCGATCAGCATGCCTCCGCGCAGTTTGATCAGGATCCATGCTGTTCGCTTACCAACTCTATTACCAGTAGAGAAACAGATAGCGAACAGCATGGGTCCTGATCAGACTGCGCGGATGCGCAGGCTGGTCTGGATACATGTTGGTCGCCAACGCACTATGTTGGTTTTGTCGTGACACGGCTCATTTATAATTACCACCCTTTATAAACATGAATTGTAACTTCGGTAATATCTTTAAAAATATTGCTTTTTTGAACTTACAATATCGATAAATCTTCATTTGAGCATCATATTTATGATATAAAACCATAAAAGATGTGTTACAGGATATTTAAATTAATCCATGCAAAGTTTCAAAATCAAATTCTAACACGACCCGCATTTTTCGCTGACAATAAGTACGGAAACAAATCATGCGCAATTAAGCTAATTATAATGTACGGCAGTATTTATTTGTTGATGTCGTGTTAGAATCGAAATAATATATCCAAATCGGTGATTTTATTGCTTGATAACACCACTGTTTGTCGTTTGGATGCGCATCATAATATCACTCGGGCTACGCCCTCGTGATATAATTCCCCGCATCCGAACTCCAAACAGTGATGTTATTTAGCAATAGAATCACAGTTTGGGATATATTATTTCTTAAATACAAAAAGACCAACAGTTTCAAGTTTCAATTTATTGGCATTTAGCAATACATTTGTCTTGGGCCATTCACAATCACAAAATACTGAAAACAGGATATATGACAAAAAAAAATAACAAAGGCAAATAATGAAGTACAATATACGATCAGAAGACGGGTAAACAGTATAAATCTCTAAATCAAATGTGATCTATGTGTACATATTTTATCTTTATTGTGTACATAATTCATGTAAGTGATGTACATACTTCGTGTTTGTGATGTACATAATTCATGTTAATGATGTACATATTCGTGTTTCTGATGTACATATTTCATGTCTGTAGCGCAATTATTTTATGTTTGTGGTGTACATGCTTCATGTTTATTGTGTACATATTTCATGATTGTGATGCACATTTTTCTTGTTTGTCATGTACATATTTTATACATGTAATGTACACGTTTCATGTTTTTGGTGTACATATTCATGTTTGTAGTGTACATATTCCATGTTTTTTATGTACATATTTTATGTTTGTGGGATGATACATATTGCAAATGTAGAACATATTTATTTCAGTATTGGTTTCTGCGTTAATACTAGCGTTTAACATTATTGATGTAGAGCCGCTTTGGAAACGTGGGTTCTTCTGTAATGATGAGACCATTCAATACCCGTATAAAGATGACACCGTCAGTAAAACTTTAGTCGCCATTATTTTTGTCGTCGTACCTATAGGAGTCGTAAGTATGACTGTTCCTGGAACTAACCAGTACAAAGCAATGAGAGTAAAGTTTCTTGGTCACGGAAACAATGGTTTGCCCCTGGCAGGGTTCAAGCCTACGCGGCCAGCAATCGTTAGATTACTAGTCCGACGCTTTAACCACCGGGCTATGCCGCCACTCAACAATAATGTTTAGCATGCTTTTTTACATTTCTGTCTAGAAATAAAATAAGTGACATGTGTAATTTTGGATTAACACTTCTTTCAAAATACATTTTTTGTTACATAAAACATATTATTTGTCGACTTACATGTATATATACAAGGGCTGTCCGGAAAGTTCGTAGACAAGGCTATAAAATCATTTTTAGCAGTCATGTCAATATGATGATTGAATATTTTGCTAAAGTATTTATATGCTACATATTTTTAAATTTAAAAAAAAACATGATAAAAAGAATATTTGCAAAGCGACAATCACAATGGTAACACGATCAATAAATCATGGTGCACTTTGATTTCATTACGATAGCTACTCGAATAATTAGTTGCTAAAATTGTAATTTTAATGCAAATTCTCGTTTAAATTTTGTGACATCATTGTATACTAGAACATGATATTTAGTGTAAATAATGACGTCATACGTAAATAAACATCTTGTTAACGGCGATTATAGGCAATGAAGGTGCGTAAATTTTGTGTTGCAAAAATGACGTCAAATTTACGGACGGAGCAACGTTATTATATTTATCTTCATAGCAATGCAAATATGGCGCAAACTGAGATTTTAATATATACTTTAAAAACAAATTCAACCATAAAATGTTAAAGGCAACTTGTGTTTAAATGTCAAACAAGATTAAGAAGCGGTGATGACAGAATTAGGTTTAAGAGCGCTCAAGACGACCAAAAGTAACATGGCCGAAATATTGTAGATTGTCTCACAACATTTTTTGAAAAGGCAGACATTTCACACACAGTATGGGAACCAGTGAAATCTTTATTTTTAAATAATGATTTTAAATATGAAATTCATGAAGTATAGCAAAGGAACATAAAATGTATTAAAGTATACATCAGACAGGTACCATGGCTGTTGAAATCGGAAGAAATTAAATAGTTGGTAGACATAAATTTAATTTGACGCCATTGTCATTGTCAAAGTGCTCCATGATTATGGAAATATGTTGTATGTAACTACTTTTATTTTTCCAACATAGTCACTTTAAAGGAAAAAAATGATAATTAATGCAACATATATGTTTAACTTATTTTATTTATGGTTGGCATAAAATTTCCGTCATAACTGGTCATTTAGTAACGTAAAGTTAATAGAGTTTGAACCTTTTATATAAAATACAATATTATAAAATAGCTTTTGCTTCGTCACCGATTGCAAAAACCTGTAATTTTATGTTAGATTTTCGCCTTGTCCATGGCTGAATAAGAGCATTAAATATTCCAGACAATTGGTAATAGAATAATATTAACAATTACATGTATATCAATTATAATATTATATGACTAAAGCTCATATCCGAACAGTCGGAAGTGACATTTTATAAATTGCACCTGATATCGGAAACTTAATATATTTTTTCAGATATAATCAATTAAAATTATGTTTCCAAAAAGAGACAACGTGCTGAAAAATGCATGATATGATAAACACTTGAAAATCGGAAGCTTATAAATTATGTTTTATAAATATTATCAATAAAAATTAGTTACATTTTGAAAAGAGTGATACAGCCATGTGTTATATTTATGCTATGTGTTTATATACATTTATCAAGCATATCACGATCAAAAACTGCCGCAGAATTTCAAACCAGAACAATTACTCAACAAATTTGATCGTATAATTCGTCTTAGGAATACTGGCCGCCTACGTAAAACCCCTCTTTTATGAGAAACCGTAGCATCCGTTGGCATGTACGGAGGAAATCTCCACAGACTATTCCTCGGAATATAGAACAACGGAGCTGCTCAGATATGCCAATAAACATATAAAATTCAAAATACATACAGCTCAATACAGAGAAACGTTCTGTTTAAGAAAAATGTTATTCTAATTAAATAGTAGAAGGTAGTGTGATATTTAATGAGGTGTGCTTAAAAACATGTATAACAATGTAATGATAATAACCATTATATCATTTTTTTTGAAAGACAATATGTGTTTTTTTTTACTCATGGATTAAGTTAATTAATAATTATGGCATATAAAAACAGTGTTTTGTTTTGTACCGTCATCGGTTACAGGTTATCTAATGACTATTCTACAAATATCCGAAAGTCAGTTGCATCCCACAGGTGTTCGAAAAGAAAGAGTTTATGCTTATGCACAGGCCATTTAAATGTATGTTTTGAACCGACGTCGGATTCAAATGATAAGGGTCTGGCAAACGACGTTGGTAAACTTCCAGATGTCGCAAAACCAGTATTGACTGTTGAAATGATAATTCCAGCCATGACGAAGAAGGGCTAAGTACCGCTGCGATAATTATTACCTGAAAACAGAAAAAAGAGACAACAGCAAGGCAAATGGGAAGGGCGGGTGGGTATTTTTCCGTGTTGGTTCAGGGCAGCTTCAGGAGCTCGGAAACTGGATCGAAAAGATATTTGCAGAAGCGTGCTCGGTTTATATACCCAGTCTACTAAGCATGCGCGAACGAGATTGAATGACTTGTTAGGGGGAGGAGCCAAATATACAGGCCATTGCAAAAATACTGTGACGTATAGCGTAAAAATAAAGAGTTTAAACTCAAGCGCTTAAACTGAATATTAAAATACAAACGTAAGTCAGAGTTCAGTAATTTTTGATAAAAGTGTTCGCTAGATATGTATATTTATGCTGACAAAATTTGTACAGCGTATGTATTGTTTTACAATAAAAAATGAAGATGTATATGAACTTTCCGGACATCCTTCGTACTACGTTTTCGAACATTTTATGTTGTTGATAGTGGATTGAATTACCAATTACCAGCTATTAAATATTTGGGAATTTCGAATTATCATCTACCAGATAGAAGGTAGTTTGTTAATCGAATATTAAACTACCAACTGCCTACCGAAATAAACATTTTTTTTTTGCAATCATTTCTTTCAAATACAACAGGATACATAACAAACCATTGCATGCCTCCTTGGTAGGGGCGTCTTGGATTTGTGCTCATTTGCCGAAAAACTGTACGAGTTATAAGAGATGCCCGCATAAATATGAAATGAATATTAACAATTTATGATGGAATCTTGTTTGCAAGTTAAAAAGATGAGACCAAAAAAAGAACACAAATCATGATCTTTGAGGTAAAACGTAAAAATGCATTAAGAGTTTGAGGGTGCCTAATATTTTCACATGTATATATCATGTCTACCAAGCAGGTGCTTTTTATCATGAAATGTTTAATAAATGAAATACGTACGAAAGACCAGTGGGGACATTTCACTTTCTTGAAAACACGATTTCCTCTTTGTAAATTTTAAATTTAAACTTCATGAATTGAGTCGCGTCATGACAAAACCAACATAATGGGTTTGCGACCAGCATGGATCCAGACCAGCCTGCGTATCAGCGCAGTCTGATCAGGATCCATGCTGTTCGCTTACAAACCCTATTACAAGTAGAGAAACTGATAGCGAACAACATGGATCCTGATCAGACTGCGCGGTCGCGCAGGCTAGTCTGGATCCATGCTGGTCGCAAACCCATTATGTTGGTTTTGTCATGACGCGGTTCAATTCATGTTTTCAATTCGCGAATTCCAGATTTCAATTTCACGAATTTCCGATTTAAAATCTTCACGAATTTACGAATTCAACTTCAAAAAATCAGTTTCGCGATTCACGTTTTGAACTTTACTATTTCAGCTTCGTTAATTCACGATTTCATTTTCACGAATTCACTATTTCATTTTCACGTAAGTGAATTCAAAATTTCGTCTTCACGAAGCTGAAATCGTGAAGTCACGAAGTTAAAGTCGTGAATTATCGGAGTTAAAATCGTGAATTCACGAAGTTGAAATCGTGAATTCACGAAGTTGAAATCGTGAAGTTCAAACCGTGAACTCGTGAATAAAAAAAATGTGAATTTGTGAAGATACACCCGAGAAATCAAAAAGTTGAAATGTCACGATCGGTCTTTCGTAAATACGCTTTCTTGAGTTTATGTTTGGATAATCTTTTTTCAAATGTTCATCATAGAAACATTCCACTTTATTTCCTCTATAACCAGACAGACAGACGGAAAGAAAATTTTAGCACAAAAACTCCTGGTGAAGTTGTACAGGTACATCTGTTTATTTTTTTTAAAACGTTGTTTTTTATATAGCATATTGACATGGTGAAGTACGCCCCCTCGTACAAATCAGATAGCGTCGGGTTTCGATGTTCTTTCTCTTTCGTATCATAGTCAAACATAAAAACACTTTCCATGTTGTCACAATATGAAACCCCGGGAAAAAGTTACCAACGAACGAGCATCATGATATTTAAAAACGTAGTTTTTATGTTTGACTATGATACAAAAGAGAAAGAACATAAAAACTATCGGCAATCTGATTGATACTCGGGGGCTACGCCCCCTCGTACAAATCAGATAGCCTCGTGTTTCGATGCTCTTTCTATTACTAACGTAATGATGTGACGGGTTTTAGTTTTTTTGTCTACTGATTTTGTCTTGAAAAAGTGCATCGTTAGCCTTCTTCAAAACAGCGTCCTGTGACGTTCGTTTCTAAAAATAGAAGAGCGGGAAACAAAACGTCCGCTTTATATATATAAATATAGAGTGCGGAACTACAGTTTAGAGGTATCGAGGGGTTTCCTGACCGTTAACGTCATTTCGTAAAAGTACGTACAAGGATGAGTGTCCTTTAGTTTAACAGCTCGAGTTATAATCAAATGTACAATTACTTTTTTTAATATAACAAATAAAAGTGAAAATACAAATATTCTTGATAATTTGATAAATTAAATATTGATCTTTCATAAATACTTGCTACATTGCATTTCTTTACAATTTCTTTATTATTATTATTATTATTATTATTATTATTATTGTTGTTATTATTATAATTATTATTATTATTATTATTATCATTATTATTTTATATTATTATATTATTATTATTATTATTATTATTTATTTATTTATTTATTTATTTTGTAAAAAAATGTTGTAATGTATTTTTTTTACTTAATAAAGTATTTTGAACAAGTATTTATTCAGGACTGCATTTGTTGAACGAGTTGAATAAAATTAATATATGCCAGCCTCTTGCTAGCATACTGTCACTTTATTCAACGAGTTCAATAAATTTAGTAAAGAAGCTATACAAATGTCATTTTCTGTCCACAACAAACCCGAAAATTAGAACGGTTAACAGTACAAAAAGATTCATTTTTTCATTAAGGCGCTAATAAATACGGAACACGATTTTGAGTATTTTACGCTGTTTGTATAACGCGTATGACATCATACCGTTGTTATGAACGGTAATCAACGTTACAAAAACGCACGTGCTTTATTATAAAATTACTAAAAATAGTGTTATTACATTATCGTTTTGACTGAGTTGCGAAAATTGAACGGGTATGTGATAAATGTTGAGTTATCTAAATAAATGCAAAAGTTTTTTTTCTTCTTTCAGAACAATTGGAGCATTTTTATTCGCCGCGACATGTACATTAATTCTAACGGAAACCATGAAAATATTTGGAGGAAGGCTCCGCCCCCATTTTATATGTTTATGTAAACCAGACTTTTCTAAAATAAACTGTTCCCATGGTTACATTATGATACAAACTGACGTGTGTACATCAGACGTGACAAAGAAGAAACTTTCAGATGCAAGGTATGGCTATAATTGAACGCTTTGCATGCTTGTCGTCTGTAAAAAGGTTTAATGTTTCTCGAAATAAAAAATAATAAATTTTGACTGTCAAACAGCTGACAAGAGGCTGTGATACGCGACGCCTAGTTGGGCACCAAATTGTTTGGAAAGGCTAATTTGATATTAAAAAAATCTGAGCTTTAGCGTTAAGAATTTTTAATAAGTGTGAACGCATGATCTTCTACGTTGCCTTGGAAAGAAATTTGATTTTGCATTATTATAGAAATATATAAAATGAAAAGACATGAAACTTTAAATTTTTCAAAAGTGTCATATCAGACTTTAAGCAGAAATAATAACGCACCCAGACTTATGTCTTTAAAAGCATAGTATTTACTAAATCCAATAAAAAACGTCGTTACAAAAACGCACTTGCTTTATTATAAAATTAGTAAAAATACTGTGTTTATAAATCGCTCGGTTGTATAACCAAGACTGACAAATCTGTCTGTGAGTACAGCAATCCATGAATATTGAAGATTAGTATATTAAAATAATATTATTATGCAATTTACTAACCTTAATAAGATCATGAAGAAGTTATTAATATTTCTGTCATTTTATTCCAGGAAATCGTTCCCATCAGGCCATGCTTCTTTGTCAACATTCGGTGCAATATATTTACTGGTAAGATTATTTCTATTCTCATTTACTTATAATATAATTATCATCTCTTTCGATAATTCTTCATTATTACACAATCACTAAGAGGTAGCTAAACTAATGTTAAACATGTCACTTTGACCGACTTTTATGCACTGTGCATAGGTCGGATATGTCATACTGAAGTAACAGTTGTGTGTTCAATTAGCAGTTAAGAGAGAAACAAACTTAAACGCATTATATAAGATATTACACTATGATCTTTTCTTTAAATTTGTATAGAAGAATTTTATGAATACAACTTACATGATTTTAAAAGATACATGTTCATTTACAATGTTTATCGGCTTAAGAAGTCTCAAATGCAGCATAATTATGCTTATTGCTTCGAGGTTTTGTATAAATCTTATCCAGAAAAATATGGCTGATAGTATGACATGATGTACATTTTATTTTATATAATTTATTCAGCTTTTATTTTTATTTTTAGGCTTTTCTGCAGCTCCGTTGCACATGTACGAAAAAAGTAAGAACATTATTGCCATTAATACAACTTGGAATTTTATGCGCAGCCATATATGTTTGTATTTCCCGCGTGAATGATAACAAACATCATTTTAGTGACGTCATCGCTGGTGCTATTTTAGGAACGGTCATAGCTTTATTGTCGGTAAGTTTCCTCTTAACTAATATTATTAAATTGATTAGAACATAGTCTTCAATAAAAATTGTGTTGATATATGTTAGTCTGTTATTTAAAATGGTATTATACATGTATAATCGGTATATAGAGAGCGGTGCATCCCTTTTATTTCACAAGAGCTAAATGGACAATAAGCCAAACGGGTCAATCGTTTGGGACTAAGTTAAACAAGGTTATCGTATAAAAACCGACTTGGTATTTTAAAATCATTTCAAAAAACTATTTATTTCTATTTATTCACGGACCCTATTGAGCATATATTAGCGAGTCGCCATTTTGGCATTTTCTCAGATAATTACGTCACAGATGAAAGTGCCTCTGGCATGTCAAAAATGTACTATAAAATAGATATTACAAAAATGTTCGGGGTATTACGATAACATCCGAAGCTTGTCAATATTTTCCGTTTCATTTGAAACGGGTAAACTTGCACAGCAAATATCGAAATACCGTACTAGTGTATAAATTTTATGTTTTTCAGTTAAAATACGTATCTTGTCTACGAAAGGATGTGTCACAAGAAAACCATTATCTACAAGAACAGTCACTTGACAGATCCAGTGATCCTATTCTTATTAACTTAACTTAATTAATATAACAACAACAACAACAAATTCAGGACAGTCTCCAAATATTGGTGTACACAGTGTATAATGTAGATCTTTTTGAAATTATTTGAATTTGATAATGATGGTGATATTCATTTAGTCGGAGACTGGAATAGTCGTGTTGGCATCAAACATGATTATGTGGTATTTGACATGATGAATGATGAACTAGATTTACAGGATTATGTAGCAGATGAACCCCTAGCCCGGGCCTCTACAGATAAAACATGTAACACATTTGGTAATCGTTTAGTTGATCTTTGCAAAAGCACAGGAATTCAAATAGTTAACGGTCGTTTAAACAGTGATCATATGATCGGTAATTGCACGTATTTCTCGAGGCTAGGGTTGTCTGTTATTGATGTATAGGATATCGACCGAGTACGAGGTCTTTCCTAAACAGAAAGATCGATGAACGAGGCCGATATCCAACTTACACACCGTAAAACTATATTGTCTTGAGCAATGGCTAATCCAAAGCATCTGATGTAATTCACAAATATTGTTTTTAACACAACGCATATACAGGTAAGCATTTATCAACGTTTTGCTTAAATACAATATATATTTTGCAATTAACTTTGCTCTTCCCTTTAAAATATAACAAATAAAGCTAAATGTGTCAAAATTTGTCAATAATAAAGTCAATCTACTACTTTCTTGAATGCCTTAAGTATACTAACCTACGACCTGAATAAATAAGCACTATATCTCAATTTTGTAATCCTTCCATCAATGTCATTCTTACTGGTTCTACTACTTTACCTTATGATTCTAATGTATCAATCTTTAAATCAGTTTAAAAAATATATCCGAGATACAAAACGATTTTAGCGTACTTAAGACCTTAACATGTTTGACATTTACTAGATTAAGCATCATAGTTCCTCGTTATTGTTCCATCATTGTTCATCCATTTCTTCCTTCCTTTTTCTAATATTTTTTTTCTCTTTAAATATTCAGTGTATATCTATTGTGCGTATCTGCATATATACAGCTGTAAGCAATCAAATAAGATATTAATTTGCTTCTTCTTACTTGATTCTAAAACGAAAAAATACTTAAATAGGTGTTTGTCTATTTGTACTTTTTTGTAAGTTGCTTTATTCTTCAATCATTTTTTTTTCTTTTTTCTCCTTTTTACTGTTTGCTCTTACATATATTACATTGTTAAATACTTAACTATAATGTGAATGTCTTTGAATACTTCAACTAACCGTTGTGTATGATAATACCATGAACTGTGTTATTGTAAATTATTATAACTGGGAGAGGACATTCATAAGCTTTATAGCTTTCTGCCCAATCCCAAAATGTACTTTGTAAATATTGTTCACTTGTTAAATGTTTTGTTGAATAAATATGTTTAAACCAAAGTCAATCTGTAATGGAAGGTATGTTAAAAAATGAATAATTATGTTGATAGTATTTCGTATCAGACAATGCAGATTCTAGGACATTTGCCCCCGACAGTTGCTCCCCGTACGTTTGCCCCCTTTTTTGCTGTTGTGACTTGTCACTAGTCAGAGGTCATCTCGTGTATAGATTTTTGTATGCCAATGGAAACAGTATAGTTTATTTATTTATGGATGCTTTTTTGACGTTCACAAATTTGCGCGACAGTTTTTGTGTAATTAAGCACAATGAAATTTCGACAATAGGCAATGAATTTTGGTAGCAAACAATTCAACAATAAAATAATTATTTTAACTTTTTTAAAACAATAAAGGGGGGGCATATGTTCGTCCCTTCCAAAGATATAAGGGGCAAAAAGGCAAACTTCCGAGGGGGCAACTGTCAGAAGGGCAATGTCCGGACACGAAATACTATATATATATATATTGTTGGCAAGTGTGAGATACATGAATTGAAACTATATTTTGTATAGCAGATTATAAAATGTTCTAGAAAAAAATATGATCGCTCATCATAAATTTTTAATACTAAATCACTAATAACTTTATTAACATTTTAAAATCGTAATAAGTATGCTGTGATTATTGCTATATAGTTTCATAGAAATGAACTTGAAGCGTCCATTTTGTTACATTGTGTGAACTTAATGACAGAAGAACCACTTAGATTACTATTACTTTGAAAAATGACGTGACTTAATAAATAAATAAATGTTTCCTAACTTTGATATGCTATCCATTTATATTTATTCAAAAATAAAGGGGTGCTGGAATAAGTGATAAGTGCATTCAATAAACATTATCTTGTTTAAAATCATAGGAACTCGAGAACGGGACCGCAGATTGCGGCGTATATTTTCGATCGTGTAACGGTTTTTAAAAACGTTTCTGCTACATCTAAATATCTTTTAGTATTATCCGAGTGTATGGACTCAAAAAATATATTATCAATTGAACCCAATCTGTCTCTTTTAAAACTGGTCAAATTTTACGGTATTATAAAAAAAAGACAAGGAGTGACATCCGTCATTCGCCGCAACGTTTTTGGCATGAGTTTTTACCCTTTGGCTACAATTGATTACTATTTTTTCAGAATTTTGTTCCCGTTATTTTTGTCAACAATCAGGTATCGTCCGGATATAACGTAAACGGTTTATTGCTTACACGTGTTGACATGTATAGGCGGCATTATATCGGGCGTATTCGTGTTTTGATTTGTTAACACGGAGAAAACAGACACTTTAGTAATATGGTCAAACTGGTTTTGCCTAACTGAAAAAAGGAATATTAAAACATGATCCATAGATAAATATTTTAGGCACTCATCTGGTATTCATTACTAGAAAAATTAAAACAAAAATCAAGCATATCAAGGGGGATAAACTTACGCCGAACGTTGCGGCAAATGGCGGATGTCACTCCTTTTGTTTTTTCAATATACCGTAAATTTGACTGATTTTTAAATTAGCAGATTATATCAAATTGAGATAAGATAATTAAAGACCACCCGCTCGCATAATATGAAAAGATATTCAAAGGTCGGACAAACTATATGTAAAGCGGATTCGGATTTATGCGCCGCAATATGCGGTCCTGTTCCAGAGTTCCTATGTTTAAAATATGTATCCGGATTTTGTAAGACATGAACATTATGACAATCATTTACATTTTATTTAAATTTTTAATTTTTGATTGCATTTCAATGATTGTTTTTCTTTGTCTGGGCATTGGCAGGTCTTTTTTGTCACGTGTATTTCATGACCGGGTCTGTCTGACTAGAACAGACCTGTGCACGTGCAAAAGATAGACCTCATAACGGACTTTCTTTTGTTTAAACAGGTCTATCCGAAAAATATAGACCTGTCACATACAATAGAGGAGGTGTGTAATATTTATTAACAAAACCTGGTAATTTTTCTAGCCTTAGCGATTTATTATTCATGATTTTAACGAATGGAGTGACCACTGTCCTATTTCTTTTAGTTTACATTGAAATATTGTTATTGAAAATTGTATTTAATTTCTATGCGGGTTTTGTTTATAAAAATAATTGAGGTTCGATATCAGCCGGAAAAATGCCTCACACATAAATAGTCTTTAAAGGTAAATAGGGACATTATGATGTCATCAATTAGCAACATGATGTTGTGAAATCGGAATATAATCACACCATTTTAACAACAAAAGTAGAACCAAGAATCTTCTATTTTGTGTTTACTATGTTTAGTAGAACCTGTTTACTATGTTAAGTAGAACCTCTTAACACATAACGGCCTTTAAATGAAGAGGTTTATTTAACAGTTGTAACAACATTGTAATTTGCCATTGCAGAAAAAGAAATAAACAAACATAATTGAATGGGATAAGGCCGTGACTTTATTTAAGCATTTGGTGCAAATAAATGTCAATGAAAACAAAATATGAAATAATGTAATGAATAAAATATGAAAGACAGCTCCCAGCGAAAATGCTTGGACAGCTACATAGCAACGCAATGGTGCTGAAACTATGATAATAAGCGCTAAAAATGCTAAATTCTGTTACAATACGGTCAGGGAAATGAAGTCGTATGGCATGGAAAATCCAGTAGAAAATAACATATTCAGAGCTAAAGAGAAAACGAGGCGAAGGTGAACTCTCAGAGATCTCCATATAATTATAATGAGATGATGTTGACGGACAGCATTCATTGCACCGAAATGCACATACTAGCGTGTATTGAGGGCAATCATGTATTACATATGTTAATTATTTAAGCATACACCATTTCAAATTTCAAAAAAAATTGATGAAAGTTTAGAAAGTCACCTACTAGGACGCCTATTTAAGCTCCTTTTTTAATGATAAAACATATAAATATATTTGTTTATATAAATAAATGGATAACCGAATATATGGAGAGCGACAATGCAGGGTTGGACGTAGCAACTAAGCTACTATGTTATAAATAACCATCCAAGAAATTGACTGAGCTAAGCGGCAGCCAAAGATTCGAACAGGGGGGCTAAGATGTCTGTTTCAACATACCCATTTTGTTCGAGGTTTGTAGCAAAGCCATCTATTTTTTTTTGAATATGTACGGACCTACACGTACATACTATCTTTGCGGTATCCGGACAATTCCCCTCCCGGACGATTCCCCTCCCAGTAAATTTGAATGTTTTTTCACAACCCGGACATTTCCCCTCCCGTTATTTTTTTACGGCGGACAATTCCCCTCCCGTTCTTTTATCAACCCGGACAATTCCCCTCCCGTTCTTTTAACAACCCGGACAATTCCCCTCCCGCTGTTGTCAGAGCGGACAATTTCCCTCCCGTGGCTGTTGAATATATATATTAGGGATGTCATCTGGAGCCGAAACGGCCATCCGGATATCCGAATCAAACATCCGGATGTTCGGATCGTTGTCATAGATGTCTGATATGACGTAACCATTTCTTCGCGACCTTTTTCAAATTGTAGTATTTCGTTTTTCTTCCTTTTTAATTGAATGATACATATCAAAAATCTTCCGTTATTGATTTTTATTTCTTCTATATAGAATACGACTAGCTTTTATTAATAAATTTAGTGCGTGTGGTACTTACGATTTCAAATGAAATGGAAACGAAAATCGCCGCCGATTGTCTGAATTCCTCAATTAGCGCTATAGTACGCAATAAAATTCGCTCACATTTGTGAAAACAAAATAATACCCGTAAAAAATTAAATATAATGTTTCCATTGTTCAATAACACGCATACAATTAACACACGATGACCTTTGACACGCGTGTAGCCGGCTTTTCAAAAGAATCTGCCAATCTTTGATGGCAATCTCATCATGTAGCCCTGGCTGTTTGATTTGAATTATCAAAGAAAGTGCCGAAATTTACATGAATTACACACATTTTAAGTGTTCATAAGTGAAAAAAGAAATGTGAAAAAAATTGTTTTTAAAAAAAAAATGCACATGTTTGATTAATACTAAAGGAGAAAGTTATTTTGTCGGATAATTTTCGTATCAAATTCAATAAAAGCTTTGATAATTAACATATAATGCGTAAGTGAATTTCTTTATTTGCTATTTTTTTTCTGCAGATTTTTCAATGTCTAAAAATAAGGAGTCGACGGGTCGGTAAGCCGAAATATATATAAATATAATAACCTAATTAAATATTTAAATTTGGACATAAAAAAATGTAACATCGTTGCCGATGACAGTCGCACGGGACTTAGCATCTTACAAAACTTAAATTTGATTAACAACATGTTTCATAATTGACTCGTAATTATTTTAGTAATTATTGAATTTTTTGTGGACTGCAGAGGTTATGATGTGTATTGTCAAACTAATCGTTATCCGAACGTTCGGATATCCGGACTCCGAATGACATCCCTAATATATATTATATAATATTGTTTATTTGAAAGGTATATATACATTTTTGCAATCAAGGACACATTTAATTAAGGGCGGCAATGATTAAAGATTTTTTATTGACAGTTTGTTTATCTTAAGCAGCGGCGGCAATGATTAAAGGCGGTATAATGTCACTTTTGTGAAATAATGATTGTTAAAAGTTCCGATCTTTAACAGTTTATTGTTAAGAGTAAAAACTGTCATCTTTGATAAGAATGGTTATAGATTTTTTTATACGCAATGTGAAAAAACGGGAGGGGAATTGTCCGCTCTGCTAAAAAAATGGGAGGGGAATTGTTCCGCTCTGCTAAATTAACGGGAGGGGAAAAGTCCGCCCTATCAAAATAACGGGAGGGGAAATGTCCGGGTTGTGAAAATAATATGGAAGGGGAATCGTCCGGGAGGGGGATTGTCCGGGATTCTATTTTTGCAGCTATCGACAGACCACTAATAGCCGTTTGGCCGAAAAGCTGAATTTTAACCCTGTTCATATAAGACACAGTCAATTCAAGGACATGGTGAACGGCCGACCTTTAGGTCTAGGCCCCCTCTAACGGTTAAAGGGCGCCCGCCCAATAACACCAATGATAAGAGATGGCCAACCGAACGCGAGGTTGCAGATACGGGAGGCCAACCTAGAAGAAAAAATTCATTTTTTTTCCTTTTCTCTTTTTTTTCTTTTTTTTTTCTTTTTTTTCTTTTTCTTCTCTTTCTTTTTTTTTCTTCTGAGGGATGGGGGTTTTTTTCTTCTTTTTATAATTGTTTTTTTTGTGATTAATTTTGGAAGCCTCGGGCTTTAAAATTGAAAAAAGTGTGTATAATAATTTATAAAACAAAACCGGTGCTCACTCAAAAAGATAAAATTGCATTAGAGAAAAATCTTCTTTGACGAGCGAAATAGGTGACTTTCAAAATTAAGTTCAATAAAATGAAAGAGTTAAAGTCACGACGGGCGATTAGAACGGGGGGGGGGGGGTTAACATGTCAATTAACACACAAAAAAGGAAATAGTCTCCCTATACAAGTCCATCTCGAAACTGATACAATTGATATATCTCTAGGTTAATTTCGACAAAGGACAATTGTGTGCCCAATAAAAATTCTAACATGCACGATTAATCAATCTGCAAACTGTGGTCGACTCGCTCAGGAAAACCAAAACCCATTGGGAAAATAGGAAACCTGCATCCGTTTGTCAATGTCATACCACCGGATGTCGGATCGCATACTTGCAAATTGATAAAAGTTTTACATTTACTCATGTTT